CAAATGTAAGTAAACACAAGATTTTTCGGTTTCGACTCGCGGATGCCTTTTATTGGCCCTTCAGGACCCTCGCCACACCGCCCGCTACCCGGATACGATGGCGGACGCCACCCACTACCAGCAGTTTGGCCCAGCGGCTGCTCCGGGCTCACCTTAGCTGCCTGTTGGCTTCGGCTGCCACCCTGGGCGGCCACCCTTCCTCGGCTTATCGACGGCCTTGCTGGTGGGGACCGCGGCTCCGGACACGACGACAGCCTGGCGAATTTGGGCGGCCGTGCGGCTGGCTCTCCCGGTGACGGCCACACCCAGGTCCCCTTTTCCCAGTCCTCCGGCTCTCCGCCGAGCCGTTTTGCGCGGCGGCGACGGTGGTGGCGGTGGCTGTGACAGCAACGGCGACGGTGGTGGTGGTGGCTGCGACAGCGGCGGCGACGGAGGTGGCGGTGGCTGCGACAGCGACGGTGGTGGCGGTGGCGGTGGCTGCGACAGCGACGGTGGTGGCGGTGTGCCCATATTGCCGCCTCCTCGGCCTCGGCCTTATCCAGCCGCTTCTTCCACTCCCTGGCTGCGGCGGCTGCTCGTGCCACCGACCGATGCGCGAATACTTTTCGCACCACCTCCGCCCGTGCTGCGAATATTCGCCTCAGCTCCTCCGGGCGGCCCGATGGCGCTGCGTCGCCCAGGCGGATCCGGCTGCGGCCCTCCGGATCCTCCGGAATGCCATCCGTGCCTTCGCTGCCCGGCGTGGCTCGTCCTCCTCGTCCGAGGAGACCTCCGGACTCACCGTCTCCGTCGCGGTGTCCTCCTTGTCTTCCTCCTCCTCCTCCTCCTCGGACAGGTCGATGGTTGGCACCTCGGCCTCCTGCCCTGCCGACCGGACGCCGGCCTCCTCCTCCTCCTCCAGCTCCACGTCGGTGATCCGACCTTCGTCCTCCGTTTCTGGGTTCGGCGACGGGGACCGCGACACCAGGGGGACGCCAGCAGCTGGAGTGCGGAACCTGAGTCCCGCCTCCATCTCGCTGCTGGCTGTTGCCCAGTTCTGCCTCCCCGCCCCTCTCCCCTCATGGACTTACTGCTGCTGCGGTTGCTTCTACTCATGTTGGCGACCTGATTTAAAATAGGCCCGTCTTGTAGCGCTCGCGCGCTGACGAAACCTCGGTTTCCGTGGTTTCCTGGCTCCGTTGTCCGCGGCGGCCTTTGGACTCTCCCCTTGCTACGGGGCTCCAACGGGTCCTCTCTTTGGTGTGCGTTACCCGGTAACGGTATCCGCATCCTATGACCCTCCCTCTCCCGCTCTCGCGCTCCCATTGCATCTGTGTGAGTTCGATACTGTGTATCGTCCTCTCCCTCTCTTTGGACTTACAGTACGCCCCCTCTAAGTCCGACTTTGATCCTAGGTTCTTGTTTTAATTGGCTAATGTGGGCGGTTTTTTCGTTGCCAGTATTTTCATGCCGCAAATTGCATATCACCGGCGAATTAAAATTCATTATCTTAAACGGCCCGTCGTACTTCGGTGCCAATTTTGCGGCGAATCCTTCTGCAGCCTTGGACAGTTGGTGTTCCTTAGCCCAGACTGTGTCAACGATGTTCGGTTTCCATGGGCGTCTACGGAGATTGTAGTGGCGTGCCTGATCCTGCGCTACCTTTTCCATAATTCGCCTCACCAGCTCAAAGATTTCTTTCAGCTTCTGTGCGTTCTCGGCCGGAGTTTGAGTTTGCCTCCCTGTGCCGATTGTTCCTTCGTCGTACAGTGTGCTGGGTAACCTAAGCTCTCTTCCTTGCGTAATAAAGGCATGCAAATATCTCGTGGATTCAGCCACGCTCATATTCACGGCCAACTGCAGTTCCGGCCATTTTCGTCCCAAGTCCTTTGGTCTGCCCCGGTGAACTGGGCGATCATCGTTTTCACCGTCCTGATGGCTCTCACCGTCGGGTGATCAACACCCGAAGGGCGCCCTTAGCAATAGCGCCGACGTGCAGACAACGGGCCGAAGCCAGAAGCCGACACGAAGCTCTCGTGCCGGCCGAAGGCGAGAACGCCGACGAGCTGCAAAGGGATCGGCAGCCGAGGGTGGCTCACGAACGCCCCTCTGCTCGCCGATCGAGGAGTTGGTTTTTGGCATCAGTGGCGATCGGACGTGCGTCTCGGAGTGAAAGGTGATAACGAGGACACCTCGTGTCCGGGACTTGGCGGAGCTCAGCCAAGCGGTACCACTACCGGCTGCCCAGGACAAGGAGACCCATGGGGCCCCGCCCTCATGGATAGGCGGGACTCCATGATGATGGAGTGACAGGAGGAGTTGGTGAGACTGGCCTCGGCCCGAACCCTACGGGAAGCAACTCTCGTGGCGGTGAGACAGATAGGAGCTAGAGCTAGGAACCTTTTATATTAAAGGGGAAATAAAATAATTAACGCAACATTTATTTCAGCGCTTTTCTGGCAAGGTTTCCTCCCTCTCCCTCCCCAAGTTCCTCACGTGGCTCGGCAGCCAAAGCGCGAGCGGCACCCGGGTTTTCGGGGTCGCAAACGCCGCGGCCGTGGAGATCACCCCTCTTCCTCATGCGGCTCGGCAGCCAAGGCAGGAGCGGCACCCGGGTTTCCGGGGTCGCAAATGCCGCGGCCGTGGGTATCACCTCCCTTTCCCCCGTGGCTCGGCAGCCAAGGCAGGATCGGCACCCGGGTTTTCGGGGTCGCAAATGCCGCGGCCGTGGAGATCACCCCTTCTTCCTCACGTGGCTCGGCAGTCAAAGCGGGAGCGGCACCCGGGTTTTCGGGGCCGCAAACGCCGCGGCCGTAGAGATCGCCTCCCCTTCCCCATGTGGCTCGGCAGCCAAGGCAGGATCGGCACCCGGGTTTTCGCGGTCGCAAATGCCGCGGCCGTAGAGATCACCTCCCCTTCCTCACGTGTCTCGGCAGCCAAAGCGCGAGCGGCACCCGGGTTTTCAGGGTCGCAAACGCCGCGGCCGTAGAGATCGCCTCCCTTTCCCCATGTGGCTCGGCAGCCAAGGCAGGAGCGGCACCCGGGTTTTCGGGGTCGCAAATGCCCCGACCGTAGAGATCACCTCCCCTTCCTCACGTGGCTCGGCAGCCAAGGCGGGAGCGGCACCCCGGGTTTTCGGGGTCGCAAATGCCGCGGTTGTGAGATCACCTCCCCTCCCCCACGTGGCTTGGCGGCCAAGACGGGAGCGGTACCCGGATGTAACGACCTGATTCTTTAGTTTCTGCTCGCTACGTAAACGTGCGGCTAGCTCAGAGAGGTTGTGAGTTCGTTCAACCAAATTTATATTGAGTGACCGCCTGTGACCAGAGGATAACGCCAGAAATGATTAGGTTGGTGCTGGCTTATTGTTTCTCTAAAATATAGCCTTATTGCTATTATTCTGTTGCGTTGCTTCGGCTCGCTGCTGCGCTGCTCCTGGCGTGCTGCCGCGTCGCTCCTGGCCTGCTACTGCGCTGCTTCGGCTTGCTGCTCCTGGTGACTGAGATCGGGACGGCTCCACCAAAAACCCTGGATGTTATGCGAGCTGCCCTACCGGGGCCGGCAAGGTGTATTGCCTAGCAGGTAAACCGAAGTTACGCCTTATCGCCTAGCCACCTTTATCGCCTTGCTTCCGGAGTTTAGCCTGGACTTTGACGGCAAGGTGTAGCGCCTAGCAGGTAGAATAAAGTTCTCCCTTATCGCCTAGCCACCTTTATCGCCTGAGTTTGATTTCACCACGACCGCCGTTGGATCTCAGCGTTGTAGCCTCAGCCATATAGACTTGTCGTCGTTCGGCGTCTCGATTTTGCGATCTTGATCCTTGGGCACTTCGGTTTCGATTTGTACTTATTCCGCGTTCACGCACTCGCTCTGATTCTCGCGCTCGTACTGTCCCGAGCTGCGCTTGCGCCGTCCTTTTTATAGGCGCAGTAGGTACCGTTATTTCCCTCGGTGTGTCCTCTTTAGGCGGGTCCGAAGTCCGCCAGTTTACCGTATGACCCCGTTGCCCTTGCCGGGCGCGGGTCAAAGGTCCATCGAGGTTCCGTTAGTTGACGGTGTGCCCTCTTTAGGCGGGTCCGAAGTCCGCCAATTCACCGCATGACCTCGTTACCCTTGCCAAATGAGGGTCCAAGGTCCGAATGTTTCCCGTTTGACCTGGATGCCCTTCATTTCTCCGGCTTTCTCGCCTCCTCCGCTGTTGCTAGGCCGATCTCCTGCATCGGGATTTGTGGGGAGTTTAAGACTCCTCACATTTCCCCCTTCCTTCGGAAACGTAATGAAAGTGGTGACTTTCCCCGCCCTTGATGTGTAGACTACTCGAATTCCCCGCCTGAATTGCATGTTTGATGTTCCCCAGACAGTTCCCCAAAAAGACTTAACCTTTCCCCCGACTGTTTTCCTAAAAGACTTTACTCGTACAGCTCCTTGAAAGACTTGAACTTTCCGCCGACTGTTTCTCTAAAAGACTTTTCCATGCAGCTCCTTGAAGGATTATTTCCCCAGACTGTTTCCCTGTTCCCCAGACAGTTCCCCGTTCCCCAGACTGTTCCCAGTTTGCCAGACAGTTCCCAGTTCCCCAGACAGTTCCCAGTTCCCCTGCGTGGAATTCGAATTTTCCCGCCCAGACATTTCCCCAAACTAAAAGTCACCGTTTTCCCTCGGTCCGGCAACTCCCTGGAATCTCGCCACGATCGCGTTTATCGATTGCGGGTTCCAGTGTTGCCATCGTCGCTGCCTTTTTGTTGTCTTAAGTTGCCTTTTGAACTTAGCAATAACCAATTGTGCTACCCATCGTTCGCAACTATCGATCGACCGCCTTACTCGGCGCCCCCGTCCCAATTTGCTATGTCCGGCAACTCCCTTACTCCCAAATGTAAGTAAACACAAGATTTTTCGGTTTCGACTCGCGGATGCCTTTTATTGGCCCTTCAGGACCCTCACCACACCGCCCGCTACCCGGATACGATGGCGGACGCCACCCACTACCAGCAGTTTGGCCCAGCGGCTGCTCCGGGCTCACCTTAGCTGCCTGTTGGCTTCGGCTGCCACCCTGGGCGGCCACCCTTCCTCGGCTTATCGACGGCCTTGCTGGTGGGGACCGCGGCTCCGGACACGACGACAGCCTGGCGAATTTGGGCGGCCGTGCGGCTGGCTCTCCCGGTGACGGCCACACCCAGGTCCCCTTTTCCCAGACCTCCGGCTCTCCGCCGAGCCGTTTTGCGCGGCGGCGACGGTGGTGGCGGTGGCTGTGACAGCAACGGCGACGGTGGTGGTGGTGGCTGCGACAGCGGCGGCGACGGAGGTGGCGGTGGCTGCGACAGCGACGGTGGTGGCGGTGGCTGCGACAGCGACGGTGGTGGCGGTGGCTGCGACAGCGGCGGCGGCTGCTCCGGAGGGCCCGGCTGTGCCCATATTGCCGCCTCCTCGGCCTCGGCCTTATCCAGCCGCTTCTTCCACTCCCTGGCTGCGGCGGCTGCTCGTGCCACCGACCGATGCGCGAATACTTTTCGCACCACCTCCGCCCGTGCTGCGAATATTCGCCTCAGCGGCCCGATGGCGCTGCGTCGCCCAGGCGGATCCGGCTGCGGCCCTCCGGATCCTCCGGAATGCCATCCGTGCCTTCGCTGCCCGGCGTGGCTCGTCCTCCTCGTCCGAGGAGACCTCCGGACTCACCGTCTCCGTCGCGGTGTCCTCCTTGTCTTCCTCCTCCTCCTCCTCCTCCTCGGACAGGTCGATGGTTGGCACCTCGGCCTCCTGCCCTGCCGACCGGACGCCGGCCTCCTCCTCCTCCTCCAGCTCCACGTCGGTGATCCGACCTTCGTCCTCCGTTTCTGGGTTCGGCGACGGGGACCGCGACACCAGGGGGGACGCCAGCAGCTGGAGTGCGGAACCTGAGTCCCGCCTCCATCTCGCTGCTGGCTGTTGCCCAGTTCTGCCTCCCCGCCCCTCTCCCCTCATGGACTTACTGCTGCTGCGGTTGCTTCTACTCATGTTGGCGACCTGATTTAAAATAGGCCCGTCTTGTAGCGCTCGCGCGCTGACGAAACCTCGGTTTCCGTGGTTTCCTGGCTCCGTTGTCCGCGGCGGCCTTTGGACTCTCCCTTGCTACGGGGCTCCAACGGGTCCTCTCTTTGGTGTGCGTTACCCGGTAACGGTATCCGCATCCTATGACCCTCCCTCTCCCGCTCTCGCGCTCCCATTGCATCTGTGTGAGTTCGATACTGTGTATCGTCCTCTCCCTCTCTTTGGACTTACAGTACGCCCCCTCTAAGTCCGACTTTGATCCTAGGTTCTTGTTTTAATTGGCTAATGTGGGCGGTTTTTTCGTTGCCAGTATTTTCATGCCGCAAATTGCATATCACCGGCGAATTAAAATTCATTATCTTAAACGGCCCGTCGTACTTCGGTGCCAATTTTGCGGCGAATCCTTCTGCAGCCTTGGACAGTTGGTGTTCCTTAGCCCAGACTGTGTCACCGATGTTCGGTTTCCATGGGCGTCTACGGAGATTGTAGTGGCGTGCCTGATCCTGCGCTACCTTTTCCATAATTCGCCTCACCAGCTCAAAGATTTCTTTCAGCTTCTGTGCGTTCTCGGCCGGAGTTTGCGTTTCCCTTCCTGTGCCGATTGTTCCTTCGTCGTACAGTGCGCTGGGTAACCTAGGCTCTCTCCCTTGCGTAATAAATACAGGCGAATATCCCGTGGATTCAGCCACGCTCGTATTCACGGCCAACTGCAGTTCACTTTTCGTCCCAAGTCCTCTGGTCTGCCCCGGTGAACTGGGCGATCATAGTTTTCACCGTCCTGTTGGCTCTCTCCGTCGGGTTTTCCTGGGGCGTGTATGGGGCCGTGAACTGGTGTCGGATGCCTTATTCACCCAGGAATTTTTTAAACGCCCTGCTGGTGAATTGAACGCCATTGTCTGTGATCAGCACCTTAGGTACGCCGTATCTTGCCAGAATCCGCTTGCGGATCTCCTTTTCCAGGGTTTTCGTCGTTGCCCTGCGCATTGGCACCATTTCGGTCCACTTAGAGAACCTATCTACCAGCACTAGTAGCATAGAATTCCCGTGTTTGGAGCGGGGCAGTGGTCCGACGAAATCTGCGCATACAGTGGCCCACGGCTCTTCCGGTATTTGGGTCAGCATTTTCCGGGCCGCCTATAGTTGGCTTGGCTTATACCGTAGGCAGCTCTCGCAGTTTTGCACTTACTTCCTTATGTCGCGGTGCATTCCCGGCCAATGGTATCTTGCTGCGACTCTGGCAATTGTCTTCCGACTGCCCATGTGGCCAGCCGTCGGTGAGTTGTGGTTCTCAGACATTCCCCTTCGCCTGGACCCCGTTGGCACGCACAGCTTCCATGCTATGACATCCTCGTTGCCCCCTCTGTGCGGTATGTGTCGATATAGCTGGTCGGCTTCCGTCATGTAGTCTGGATATTTTTGGGGATTTTGGGATATCTTGCTCTGCATATCCCTTATCCAGTTACACTCGCCGGTTTCCTTATGGTGTTCATGTGTTTTTACCCGTCGACACGTTTCTGGCTGTGGCTGTCGCGATAGTGCGTCTGCTACTATATTCAGCTGGCCCTTTCTGTACGCGATCTCAAAGTCATATTGCTGCAGTTCCAGCGCCCATCGTGCGATTCTTCCGGTTGGGCTCTCGATGCTATTCAACCACTTCAGTGCCATATGATCCGTGATCACTTTGAAGTGGTAGCCCTCCAAGTATGGCCTTAACTTGCGTATGGCCCACACAATTGCCAGGCATTCCTTCTCAGTCGCTGAGAAATTTCTTTCCGATCCATTCAGGGACCTACTGGAATACGAGATCACCCTCTCGCCTTGGTCGGAATTCAGTGTGAGAATAGCACCGAGCCCCTAATCGCTGGCGTCGGTCTGCAGCACAAATGTCTTTGTGAAATCTGGGCATGCTAAGATTGGGTCTGCGATTAGCCTGGCCTTGACAGCTTCAAAAGCCTGTTGATGGTCTTCTGTCCACTCCCATTTTGTGCTCTTTCGCAGCAGGCTATTCAATGGATGCACCAACGTTGCAAAATCTGGCACAAACCACGACGCCACTCCCAAGTATTGTCGCAACTCCTTAACGTTGGGCGCCAGATGTAACGACCTGATTCTTTAGTTTCTGCTCGCTACGTAAACGTGCGGCTAGCTCAGAGAGGTTGTGAGTTCGTTCCACCAAATTTATATTGAGTGACCGCCCGTGACCAGAGGATAACGCCAGAAATGATTAGGTTGGTGCTGGTTTATTGTTTCTCTAAAATATAGCCTTATTGCTATTATTCTGCTGCGTTGCTCCTGGCTCGCTGCTGCGCTGTTCCTGGCGTGCGGCTGCGTCGCTCCTGGCTTACCGCTGCGTCTCTCCTAGCCTGCTACTGCGCTGCTTTGGCTTGCTGCTCCGGGTGACTGACATCGGGACGGGGCCGGCAAGGTGTATTGCCTAGCAGGGGAACCGAAGTTACGCCTTATCGCCTAGCCACCTTTATCGCCTGGCTTCCGGAGTTCAGCCTGGACTTTGTCGGCAAGGTGTATCGCCTAGCAGGTAGAACAAAGTTCTCCCTTATCGCCTAGCCACCTTTATCGCCTGACACCGCGCAAGGACTCCCTAACTTTGATTTCACCACGACCTAACACCGTTGGATCTCAGCGTTGTAGCCTCAGCCATATAGACTTGTCGTCGTTCGGCGTCTCGACTTTGCGATCTTGATCCTTGGGCACTCCCGTTTCGTTTTGCACTTATTCCGCGTTCACACACTCGCTTTGATTCTCGCACTCGTACCGTCCCGAGCTGCGCTTGCGCCGTCATTTTTATAGGCGCTGTAGGTGCCGTTATTTCCCTCGGTGTGTCCTCTTTAGGCGGGTCCGAAGTCCGCCAGTTTACCGTATGACCCCGTTGCCCATAGAGGTTCCGTTGGTTCTTTAGGCGGGTCCGAAGTCCGCCAATTCACCGTATGACCTCGTTACCCTTGCCAAATGAGGGTCCAAGGTCCGAATGTTTCCCGTTTGACCTGGATGCCCTTCATTTCTCCGGCTTTCTCGCCTCCTCCGCTGTTGCTAGGCCGATCTCCTGCATCGGGATTTGTGGGGAGTTTAAGACTCCTCACACGGGTTTTCGGGGTCGCAAACGCCGCGGCCGTGGAGACCGCTTCCTCGAGATCCTCACCTGGCTTGGCGTCCAAGGCGGGAGCGGCACCCGGGTTTTCGGGGTCGCAAACGCCGCGGGCGTGAAGACCATTTCCTCGAGATCCTCACCCCGGTAGGGCTGCGGAACGGTCTGCACCCGGGCTTACGGGGCCGGCTAACTGCACCCCTCCTCCACCTCCTAATCTCCCCATGCCCAACAATTCCGGCCATTTGGCCACCCCTCCTGTCTGTCCCCGCAAATATATAAATATTTCTGTGGAGGACCCTGGTACGACTTTGTATGTATCCTGGCCCGTGATTAGCATCCTTACAGAATGGCGCCTGAAAAATATGGTCATGGCTCCCGTGTGCTCCCTGATACAAAATTCCCCTAACCTCACTAAACTTCCTCCTATGCTGTCCAAACTGTGGGGCTTTAATCCACGGTGGATGTCGATGTCCTTGATGTCCTGCATGTCCTGTCTAGTCCCTGTTCGGGCGCCCTGACGTCAAGACGCAGACGTACAAACATACATACATACTTACACACGTACACGCAAACACAACAACAACAAAAAACAAGAGAGAACGCTATAGTCGGGTGCCCCGACTATCAGATACCCGTTACTCAGCTAAAGGGAGTGCGAGGGAGATGGAGATAGAAACTTTGATCACGCATAAATTTTTAACGAATGGTCCGATTTGAAAAATTTCTTCTACATTTCGATAAACACAATAAAACTGAATTTTTACTTTTCCGAAATATTTAAATTTTTAAAATCGTATCTTAGCGATTGTGGGCGCTAAAGGGGGCGTGGCACCATTTTGAAACAAACTTGCGCTGCGTAGGAACTTCTAAAATCTACATGCAAAATGCCAATCTTCTAGCTTTTATAGTTTCCGAGATCTCAGCGTTCATACGGACAGACAGACAGACAGACGGACAGACAGACGGACAGACGGACATGGCTAGATCGACTCGGCTAGTGATCCTGATCAAGAATATATATACTTTATAGGGTCGGAAAAGCTTCCTTCTAGCTGTTACATACTTTTGCACGAATACAATATACCCTTTTACTCTACGAGTACCGGGTATAATCATAATTCGGGGCATCAGATCCCCGAACACTACGTCGGCGCACACGACGCGAAATATAGGCACGAACACTACGTCGGCGCACACGACGCGAAATATAGGCACGAACAAACGTCGGCGCACACGACGCGAAACATAGGCACGAAGCTTACAAACGGTCGAAGACAGACGAACGCGCCCCGAAAATAAACGAAGAAGTCAGCGACGACGTTGCTGCCGACGTCGTCCGAAGTAGGAAGCATAGGGCCCGGTCTCGCTCGTACGCCCGAAGTTTTCTCCGAGGAGGACACCCGAGGTCAGCCGTGCCAGTATATAAGGCCGGTGGATCTGTCTACCTAACACAGTCCACCTGAAGCAGTCAACGTAAAACGGTCTACCTGAAATCAGTCAACGTAAATCAGTCAACGTGAAGCAGTCTACCTCTATCAGTCAACTAGAACCAGTGAACTAGAGTCAGTGAATCCCTCCGCGATCTAACCAACCATCTCCAACAATCCTCGAAGGATCACGAAGGACTACACACCGTCGCCAGCAACGAAGGACTACACACAGTCAACCACCACCACCCAGCTGGAATATCAAATTCTAGCCTGCTCTTTTGACCATGGGAGTCACATGGATCTCGTACCGAAGGAAGCATGAGCTCGAAGCCATTCTTCTGGAGCTAGGACTGGAACACAGCGGTACAGTCAAGGAGCAACGAGCTCGACTATACGCATTCGCACGGCAGCCAGAGCACACTGACGCAGTA